GTAAGTCTCCTCAAAAAGGAGGGATTTTTCCTAATTGGTTGAGCAGACCTCAAAATTTGAGGCCAGAACAAAGAAGCTTTCCTCAAACATTTGAAATCCTAGAGCAAGGATTCTCGCCCTCTGGAGGGCGAGAATTTGCACCAAATTTCCTCGCACTCTGGAGTGCGAGGTTTGGTTTCCTCGCTCGATTAGAGCAATAGATTAAGAAATGTCACTCTATTTGAGTGATAATTAGAAAACCCCGCTCTGTTTGAGTGAGGATTTCTGAAGTTATTCTCAAATTGTATCGATCGAGCTCGAACGAACATAGCTGTTTCGTGTTCGCTCGAACACGAACAGCAGGTGTTCATATTCTAAATGTTCGAGTCCTACTCGGACAAATGTTCGTAGGAAAACGGAATTGTGTAAACCAGCATGGATATCTTTTTTTATTGATTAGCGAACTTAAAGTCGTAATTATTGTTCGTGCCCTAGAAACTCAAGTGTGATGCAGTCCAACAGTTTTAAGTGCAATACCACACTGTAAGTTTTGTTGAAAATTTCCAAACAATTAACTGGAAAATTTGAACCCCGGACTGTCTGGAAAATTTGAAATCCAAACAGTCTAGAAACGAAAATATCTGAACTAGGAAAGTTCCGAACTTTTTGGAAAATGCGTGAACTTTTGACGAACTTTTAATAATTCATTTACAAATTTACATTTTTGTTGTTACTTAACCTAATTGCCCGCATTGCCCCCCCCCCCCTGGATCCGCGCCTGTCTTGGACCGTACCTGGTACGGTGTGATCACAGCGCCTCACCTTTATTTTAACCGTGTTATTATTATTATAACTGAAATCACATTCTACGGTTTAAAATAACGGTGAGGCGCTGTGATCATACCGTACCGTTACCATGCTGTAAAATCCAAGCTGTTATTTCACCGTAGGTATATAGACCGTTATTTTTTACAGTGCACGTGCGTGTCGCGTGCGTGTCGCGTGCGTGTCACTTGCGTGCGTGTCACTTGCGTGCGTGTCACTTGCGTGCGTGTCTCTTGCGTGCGCAGATGCGTGCGCAGATCCGTGCGTGTCACTTGCGTGTCGCGTGCGTGTCGCGTGCGTGCGCAGATGCGTGCCTGTCGCGTGCGCAGATGCGTGCGTGTCGCGTGCGCAGATGCGTGCGTGTCGCGTGCGTGTCGTGTGCGTGTCGCGTGCGTGTCGCGTGCGTGCGCAGATGCGTGTCACTTGCGTGCGCAGATGCGTGCGTGTTGCGAGAGTGTCACGTGAGTGCGTAGATACGTGCCTGTCACGTGCGTGCGTAGATCCGTGCGTGTTATGTGCGTGCGCAGAGCAGATGCACGCGCTGTAACGATCACTATTCGTTACTGGTTGGTTTTTCCTTCCATTTTATTTTATCTCTGTCCGTAGTCTAAGGTGACCGTTGGTTTTTTAAATTGAGGCGCCTAACGGTTCAGTTTTAAGCTTCGCGCTTGTGCGCTCGAGTTTGAATTTCCCACCCTTCCCTCCTCGTGACGTTTCTCATATCATTTGAATTTGGCGCGGAGTGCCGCCATGTCTGTTTCTCATATTGGAGATTGGCGCGCTAAGCGGCCATGACAGTTTGCCATACTGGTCCTTTTGGCGCGCTCAGCCACGGGAACGTTCTGGAGAGGCCAGAGAGCGGAGAGTTAGTTTCCGGTTAGCCGTTCCGTGAGAATGACGTGAGTGCAGGAGTGCAAGTAGTTATCCTCAATCATCTTGATTTTGGTTTGAGTTGAGATCGTACGGGATGGATTTTAATGCTTTATAGCATGGATATTTTATCTGGAGAAAAGTTGGTGAGTGCCACATTGATATAAATCGATATTTCTGAGATGTGATGTATGGATGGCCCGCCTAACCTCTGGTTTCCCATGTGCTTTGCCACAGGTGGTTTTATTTTGATGTTCCGAGCCTATCTTTTATTTGTGCTGGTTCACAATCTATAATGCTCTGGTGAGTTAGTGAAGGATTGATCTTGAGATTTATTATTTATGAAGAGATTTATTGATGGGAATGTCGCATTTTAGGAACTGTTTGTGATGAACTCGATGTCCACTGTTGTGATGCCTGAATGGATCCCAGTGATTATTTTACACCATATCGGTGAGTTGATATTATGCCTCAGAAGAACTGATTTAATTCCTGGTCAATGTCTGGTATACTGAGTGTCCGTGTTTGTCTCTTGTTGCAGGGTTCTAGGTTATATTTTAACCGCCACATGTGTTTCATGGTTATGTTTCCATGTGTTCATGATTTGTTTGGCTTTGCCATTCTTTCCCGTTACGGTGATTTCTTGAGGATTACTGCTGTACATCATGCGTCAAGATTATTTCCCTGCATTCATGTATTTTTGTTTGTATGCTGCAACTAGTCTGTTTTACTGCAGTATTTTATAGAACCGATGTGGGTTCTGCTTGGATCTTTATGATCTTCTAACTTAGTTATTAATGTTCTGAATTCTCTAGTTTTGCTAGAACTATTTTGATAATGTTGGTTTGCATTTGAACCATTTACATTGAGTTGAGATTGAGAGAGTTTGAGTTGGAACTTTATTGTTCTATTAATTGAGTGTTCGGCTGTGATTTAGAGCCGTGTTTTACTTGAGTTTACGGAGCGTGTTTTGCTCTGGCTAGAGGCTGGTCCTCTCTGATTTTAATTTAATATTTGTGTGGCTGTCTGCCTCTATCCTCTTTGAGTGATTAGAACTTATTGTTCTTAGTTTTAGTTGTCTTGAACTTGTGATTTTGAGTTCGCTTCTCAGTGCTATTGTGCCCCTGTAATACTGCTGTTTGTTACATTGTTATTAAAGCCTTTTTGTTATTGTTAAACCATTGAAGACCTACTAGTAGCCTTTTCCTTTGACGGTGACTTGTCACCTGGCGCCCATATTTCTTTTGAGGACTTTTAAGTCAAAGCGTACCCTCCCAACCTACCACCTGGCTTGCCGGAGCGGTTAACAATAACTTGAATTTAGTTTATCTGGGCTTTACTTATTTTTGAGGCTACAGCGCGCGCACGCACAAACACAGAAGCACGTAGAAGCCTGGACGCAGAAGTACACACACGCGCGAATGCGACAGGTCACACAGTAGGCACTATACCCGAGGGACCGAAACGTTTTATTCTTCCAATGACGTCACCAAAAGAAAGGAACTATGTTTAACTCTTATGAACAAAAATAACCGAATCGGAACACAGTTTTACTCCTGCGAGTTTTTCTCAGTTTTGTTCGCTGAGGTTTTGTTCTTTGTTTAGTTCCGTTCCTTTTCGTTTTGTTCCTTGGAATAGTTCCGATGGAACAGAACTATGCAGTATCGCTCCGTGTCGATTTATTTAATTCCGGTTTTAATTATGATTTTCAAACTATTTAGACAGATTTTTGTTCAAAACTTTAACTTTTATTTACAGTGATCACATTTAATACTGTTATACCATACATGTATCACGCTTTCAAGTGTAATGTGTGCAGTACATTTAGAAGTGTGATATATTTATGGTACTACAGTAACTGTGATACTCCTGGTATTGCACTTATAACTATCCCACTTGAGTTTCCAAAGTGTTCGGATCCAATTTCAATACAGCATCGTTCGGTTCGTTCGAAGAAAAAGTTGGTTCTTGTTCGTTTGATCATTTTGGGACCAATTAGATTGTCACCGCTCGCTCGGTTTTTGTTAGGCATGTACACATTAAAAGATGTGTACATGGTATATATACTAACGGTTGAATGTACATTTTAAAAGATGTGTACATGGGCATGTACACATTTATAAATGTGTACATGGGCATGTACACATTTATGAATGTGTACATAGTCATGTACACATTAATTAAAGCATACATGCCATGTACACTTTCTTTAATGTGTACTATGTACACATTTGAGTTGACAGAGACTGCGTCATAAGTTACAGAATTCTGTACTGTTTTTTTAGAGTGAAGTGAATGTTTACCCAAAACCCTTGTATTTTACAAGTCTGCCCGCCTAAAACTGTTGCTATTGTTCACTCTAAAAATTCTTTGTGACGATGACGAAAATACCATTTCTAATTTTTAGTACAGGGATGTCGTCATGGGTTTTTTCGTCACCGGTACGAGAAAACCCTCATCGTGTGACGAAAAAACTCATGACGACACTCACCCGTACTAAAATTAGCCATGTTATTTCCGTTATCGTGACATAGAGTCTTTACAGTGCTGTCGATATTTCTTAGTGTGTAAATTTGTTTTTGTCATATATATCCCCTTACCTTATCTCATGCCTAAAGTTACCCTGAAGCTAAACCCGCTCTCGCACGCCTCGCGCAGGGGCGCCTCATGCCGGTGCGCGTGCGCTGCTTTTGGGAGGAGGTCCGCGACCTGGTGCTGGCGCTGCGCGCTCGCGCTTCCGTGGCGGAGCTCAAGGAGGCGGCGCGTATGGAGCTGGCCGCCAACGCCGACCACGTGCTGCGCGCCGTACGGGTAGGCCTGCCCTGCGGCCTGGCCGACGAGTGGCTGCTGTCGGAGGTGGTGGACGAGGACTCCAGGGTGAGTGTGGGCCCATATGGCGACTGACTGACACGGGGCAAATGCACATTCACACTTACTTCCCGACCCCTAAAAATGCTACTCTATTGCGAAGAATTCGGTTCGTAACCTACAAAGGGTCTGGAACCACCATTACGAATTCTTCATATTTCTTCTTTTATTAGGAGATGATACCTTACATACTTTACTTACACCGAGACTAAACTTAAGTAAACATAAGGATGATTATGAAGGTGTCAGCAGAAAGGAGGTGGGGGGGGTTAGAGATTTGCCATTATTACATACTTTTTCAGCCCCTTATACTGTCTGAACGGTTGATCTGACCTCTAAATGTACCAGGCCATTGGATTCCCCACACCTTTACACTTCTCAGACAACTGGAGATTCAGTTCTAACAACATTTTTCTCCTTGCGACAATTGTTTTAGTATTTGTTGGCATTTGGGTCAAAAATCTTGCGCGCACGATTTCTCAGCTAATATTGATTTTAAAAATCGCACACTTGTAGATTGATAAGGTGAAGAAATTGCAACGCCAGTTTTCAAAATAAATGCTTCCTTGATTTTTTATCACCGTA